GAGACTGAGCCCGTCTCCTGATACAGTCCATGGTGATGGTGCAGGGACCACCCCAGCAGTCTGGCAGCAGGGGAGACTGAGCCCATCTCCTGATACAGCTGGAGGTTAATGGCCCAGGAGCAGGTGGGAGCCAGTGGGTGGAGATGACCGAGGAAACCTCCAGAGTGATGAGCCTTTGTGGTCAACACCAGCCCAGGGTGATCTCACATCACCTGGGGGATTTATTTACACAAGATCTTTAAATACTAATTTGTTGTTTCTTTTCCAGACTCGGTATAATTTGTCTAAATGGGCTTGTTAACCCTTTTTCCATGGCCAGCAACTTGTCCTAATGTCTTTGGGGAATGCAAATCATAAATTGTGAGCAGTCTTTTTTTTCTTGATGCCTTTTTTACTTAGTACTTCTGTTAAATTATTGTATAAACTATTACTTAACATGGTTTCAGCTATACAGTTCTTTAAAAATACAGTTCTTTTGTCTTTCCACTTCTTTCTTTTATTACCTTCAGAGAAGCTGTTTGCTTCTCTCTGCAGACAGCGCCTTCCCGTGGAGCCTCCACAAATTGAAATTTAAAGTGCTTGTCCCTCTTGCATTCTTTCCAGGGTAACCTCTCCCTGTGACACGTTCACTGGCGTGATCCACCAGGCAATGTATAAATTGCTGTAAAACTGGAAAAGCGTTTGAATGAGTAAGCAGATGTTCTCTTAGCATGAAGCAGATGTAACACTTGCAAGTGTCTGTCTAATAAAATATAGCATTTGGTTCTATGCAGCTGGTGCCAGATTGCCAATTAATCATGTTTGAATGTATTTTTACTAATTAGGGCCCCCTCTGTTCTCTACACATTCTGGATATATTAAAGAGAGGCACAAAGCGTTCTACTTTAGTACTCTGAGCGGTGTTCTCTCTTCTCCCCCAGTCTTGTTCTGTTAGAATCACACAGACGGCCTTTTGTCCTTAGTGACTCTCCCGTCTGATTTGGGGATGATGTTAGAATATTCCACTGAAGGCAACACTTAGTACTTTGAACACTTTGAGACAGCTGGAGAAAAGAAAAGGAATGTAATTAAACTTAATGTTTTTATAGTTACACAAACAAACGCTAGTATTTGCTCATTTACCATCAATTCATAACCTGTATAGTTGTTTGACTGAGCAGGAGTTTGACCATTGTAGGAACAAATGATCTCAGTTTGATTTTATGTTATCAGAAGCAATAGAGCAGTTTTTCTCAAAGATTAAAGAGGAATGGGTTAATGTAATTACCAGGAAGAGCTGCCTTTGTTGCTGTGAAAGATACAACACAAATCTGTAGCCACTGTGAAAGCTGAAAAAGTTGTATTATTATGTGCCATCCTGGTTATAAAGCAAGTATGCTAATTAAATTAAATTCCAGGACCTGATGGGCCTTTTTTCTCTTTGAGACAGAGTCTTGCTCTGTTGTCAGGGTGAGAGTACAGTGATGTACATGGTCATAGCTCACTGCAGCCTCCAACTCCTGGGCTCAAGTGATCTTCCTGTCTCAGTCTCCCAAGTGGTTGAGACTGTAGACCCATGCAACTATGCCCAGCTAGTTTTTTTATTTCTTATTGAGATGGGGTCTCACTGTTGCCCAGGCTGGTCTCAAACTCCTAGACTCAAGCAGTGTTCCCGCCACAGCCTCTCAAAGTGCTAAGATGACAGGTCTGAGCCACCGGGCCCAGCAGTGGGCCTTTCTGTCATACTTGATTTCTCCAGGAAAAATTTGTTTTCTGTGAAAGGACATTCAATATATAAGAAAGTTTGGGGGGCAGTGCCTGTGGCTCAGTGGGTAGGGCACCGGCCCCATATACCGAGGGTGGTGGGTTCAAACCTGGCCCCAGCCAAACTACAACAACAACAAAATAGCCAGGCGTTGTGTTGGGTGCCTATAGTCTCAGCTACTCAGGAGTCTGAGGCAAGAGAATCGCCTAAGTCCAGGAGTCAAAGGTTTCTGTGAGCTATGACACCACAGCACTCTACTGAGGGCAACATAATGAGACTCTGTCTCTTAAAAAAAAAAAGGTTTGCTACCCCACCTCCAGTTATTTTAAAAAGACCTAGTTAACAACGATGAAACATCGCAGCTTGGTTGGGAAGTTAGCAGTTGGATGTTTGCACTGTTCAGGTAATTAAGAGGATAGCTTTTCAATGCTTTATTGAATTAATTTATAATCTTTTTTAATGAATAGAAGTATTTAAAGAAATATTTAGAGCTAAAAAGAAAAAATATAAGATAGCTCCATAGCTTTCTTTTCTAAGTAAGAAGGCTGGATAAATGGTGCTTAAATGACAATGTACTGGCTTGGCGCCTGTGGCTCAAGCGGCTAAGGCGCCAGCCACATACACCCAAGGTGGCGGGTTTGAATCCTCAGCCCGGGCCCGCCAAACAACAATGATGGCTGCAACCAAAAAATGGCCAGGCGTTGTGGCAGGCGCCTGTAGTCCCAGCTACTTGGGAGGCGGAGGCAGGAGACTCGCTTGAGCCCAGGAGTTGGAGGTTGCTGTGAGCTGTAATGCCACGGCACTCTACCCAGGGGGACAGCTTGAGGCTCTGTCTCAAAAAAAAAAAAAAAATGACAATGTACTCTACTTCTTCCTATTGGAAGATTAACATTACTTACCAAGAGGGAAGGGGCGGGCACAGATTAGCATTGTTTAAAGTATGCCAAGAAAAACCCACTGGAATATTCTTTACATGCAAGAGGGAAACATTCATACATGTGGAGAGCAAAGAGAATGAACCAAGGTGCCTTAGTAAACATTCTCGTAGTGGGGAAATAAAATTTAAAAATAAATATTTAAAAGGTAAGATAAATATATTAAATAATTTCTAGACCTGGAGATAAATAGCATGAATGATTATTTTAATGAAGTGTGTATTGTTGTTTGAAAACCAAGGAACGTTCATCAGCTAGAAAGAGAGGTGTCCCATGTTATTACCCCAGGGAAGCTAGGCTTGTGGACTGTGATCTGCTGTGGATGGAAATACATTTCGTTTTATTTTGTTCCAGTTTTTTGGCCAGGGCTGGGTTTGAACCTGCCACCTATGGCATATGAAGCCGGCGCCCTGCTCCTTTGCGCCACAGGCACCACCCGGAAATACATTTTAGATAATGCATTGCAGGTTCTGGAACCTGGTTTTGTGAATTCTGGTACTTGTATTAAAGAATCTGTAATGACATAGATTATAATTTTTTGTTCATTTATACTTTTTCACACACAATTCAATATCCCTTATCCAAAATGCTTAGGACTAGACGTGCTTTGGATTAGAGATTTTTGGAATATTAGCATAGACATACTGAGCCATCTTGGGATCAGGACCCAAGTCAAACATGAAATTCCTTTATGTTTCATATATACCTTATGTATATAGCCTGAAAGTAATTTTATATAATACTTTAATAATAATTTTGTATGTGAAGCAAAGCTTGTGTACATCAAACCATCAGAAAACAAAGACGTCCCTATCTCAGCCATTCCCGTGGACAGTCTCTGGTTGCTAGTATCACCATCACTCCTGACTCCGAATTTCTGTATTACCTTTATAAGCAATCATTTTCTTATGTTTATTCATGTACAAATATTTACTTGTTTATTTTTATGTGTTTATTTTTTTGAGATATAGTCTCCTTCTGTCACCCTGAGTAGAGTGCTATGGCATCATCACAACTCACAGCAACCTCAAAACTCCTGGGCTCAGGAGATCCTCCTGCCTCGCCCTCCTGAGCAGCTGGGACTACAGGCGACCACCACAGCGCCTGGCTATTTTTAGAGACAGGGTCTCACCCTTGCTCCAACTCCTGAGCTCAGTGATCCACCTGCCTCAGCCTCCCAAAGTCCTGGGGTTACAGGTGTGAGCCACTACTCTGGGCCCACATACAAATATTTAACAGTGAAAAATCTGACAGTGAAAAAATAAAAAGTGTGACAGTGTTCAGAGTAACTTGTGCTATCATGTGGGTTCTCAGAAAGTTTGGGATTTTGGAGTATTTCAAATATCCAATTTTCAGATGTATATATGATGTATATAAAATACACAGCCTGAGTATAACAGAATTATTCTCCAGAGTCCACCCTACACTACTGGCTGTTGTCTCTGTGTTTTATGTTAATGATTTAAATTTACAAAAATGCATTTTGCAACCAAAATGCTATTACTTTATATCGTCAGGTTAAATTCTCATCTAGAAGCAGTTTAAATACCTCATGTATCCATTTACCTCCGAGAACATCATTCCACCAGGGTTACACTTGTCAAAACAGCAGTCGTATGTAAAGGTCTGCCTCAGTTAACTAAGAATACCTTATGTTCGTGGAATCTAAAGAAAATCGTTGCTCTTACAGCGTTAACTTTTAGGCAGGGGTCTAATGCAATTATATTTGTCTTCATTTGGGAGATTATTTTAATGCTGTTCCTGCTTTTCTGTTCTGTATCTCACTAATATTATGTGATTATGATAACATATATTTTTTAAAAATTTTTAGAGTTTAAACCTTCACAAAAGTAGAATGGTATGAGAAACCCCATTGCCTTTGTCACTCAGTTTCCACATTATCAGCCCCTGTTCTTGTTTGCCAAGATTTGAGATGTTACTTTCAGAGTTTACTTTCTTTTAAGTTGTAGTTTCTGTACATTTCTACAATGACAATACATACTCAAACAAAACTGGGTCATATAAAACCAGTAGATGTAACTTTGTTTCAGGAAGTGGAGCGGGAAATCTCATTCAGGACTGAGTGTGGACTGTATTACTCCTACTACAAGCAGATGCTGCAGGCTCCGACCCTCCTGCAAGGTAACCATGCTGCTAGTTGGATGGGGCCGCCTCTGTTCTTTTAATATCTGAGTCAAAATGCTTTGCAGGGAAGCAATTTAGATGCTCTGCAGAACTCTGTAGTTTGTCCTTGTTACCGTCTAGTCATGCTATGGCAGTGTTTTTGCTCGAGAAGAAGTTACATAATCCTTACATAACTGTCCTCTCCTTGCCTTTTAGCTCTGGTCCATCCCCAGAGTAATTTCTCTGTGCTCCCTTGGTTTGTTGCTGACTTTCCCCCAGGACCATTGTGGAAGCAGGCTTTGCAGGTGAAAGGGGCATTGTGTGAACACAGCAGATATCGGGTGATGTCCCCACTGTGCAGCTGCCATCTCCCTGCACCTTCACATGCCTCAGTGCTTTGGAGCCCACACTGTGTGCCTTTATTCCAGCTAAGGAAAGCCCCCAAAACATGTCTTCTGCTTAATACGTCCTTGTTGTGCGTGAGATGGGTGCACAGACAGAGAACTGCCCTTCCTTCCTGTGCTCTGCTTGGGTTCAGCTGTGACATTCTGGGTGAGAATCTTCATGCAGAAGGTTGTGCACATCGAATTCCATCACAGGAGGAGGAGATGTGGACTTGGTTATCTTTGTTTCTGTATCATAAAAATTAACCAGTTGGTTCTTGTGTTGGTAGCCAGATTTTGCCCATGACAAGGCTCACTGTCCAGCGGCCTGTCACATGGGGTCTTAGCAGCCCTCGGCCGCGCGTGTCCCCTGTGTTACTGCTGTGGGGCTGCCTCAGCTTTGTTACTCCGAGGTGCAGTTGGACCAAGAAAGGCTGCTGAGTGTGTCTTCACAGGGTCAGTCTTCATTATGCAGAGTCCACAGTCACAGAATCATCTACTTGCTGAGATGTATTTATAGTACCTGCCACTTTCATGTCCCTTACGGACATGTCAACAGCAGTGAAGACTTTCATCCCCAGCAGAACAAACAAGGTGACACTCTGCCTTCTTGTGTGACACACCAGAGCACCCTTTTCTCTGTTGCATGTTTTTTTTTTGCGGTTTTTGGCCAGAGCTGGGTTTGAACCCACCACCTCCCGCATGTGGGGCCGGCGCCCTACTCCTTTGAACCACAGATGCCACCCTATTTTTTTTTTTTTTTTACTTTTTGTTTTGTTTGTTGGTGATTTTGCAATTTAAAGTGGCCCCCAACCATAGTGCTCAAATATTGTCTGGTGTTCGTAAACTCAGGAAGGCTGTGATGTGCCTTATAGAGAAAGTACATTGTGAGACAAGCTTCATGTAGGTGCGAGTTACTGTGCTGTTGGCTGTGAGTTAAAGGTTAATGAATTAGCACTGTGCACATAAGAAAGTGTCTTTAAACAGACGCACATAGAATAGGTTGTATGTCAGTCAGGAGATGGAAACAGGCTGTGGGGACCTAGCCTGTATCTCCCACTGGTTTGGTGTTTTCCAGGACAGTTTCTACAGCAGCTTCAAGGTCACTGCCTGGAATAAGGTGAACTGTCTGCACTCACTGCTGCATAGTTCTCGAAATTACAAGTCACCTCTCTGTGTCCTCTGAGGCTGTGGTTCTTGTGGGGTATTTGTGTGCCTTGGGCAAATCTGAAGTGTCTGGAGAAGTTTTTGGCTATTGCAAGTAGGGGATGGGGAGCTGCTGGAATCTAGTGGGCAGGGGCCAGGATGCTGCTGAACAGCCCACAGAGCACAGGGCAGCCCCACAGCAAAGGGTTATGTGACCGATTGATCTTAATTTATGTCATCGTTAATATATTCTTTTAGAACATTTCAAACATATAAAAAGCTAGAGAGGGTTTGGCACCCGTAGCTCAGTGAGTAGGGCGCTGGCCACATACACCAAGGCTGGTGGGTTCTAGCCCGGCCTAGGCCCGCTAAACAACAATGACAACTACAACCAAAAAATAGCCGGGCGTTGTGATGCGCACCTATGGTCCCAGCTACTTGGGAGGCTGAGGCAAGAGAATCACTTAAGCCCGAGAGTTGGAGGTTGCTATGAGCTGTGATGCCACAGCACTCTATCCAGGGTGACATAATGAGACTCTGTCTCAAAAAGAAAAGAATCCCCTAAGACTATAGTCCCCAACCCTTGGGCCACAGACCAGCACCTGGCTGGCGCCGATTGGGAGCTGGCCACATAGCAGGAGGTGAGCTCTGTCTACATTCACAGCTGCTGTCCCGTCACTCCCGTGGTCACCACCTGAGTGTAACTCACATGCAAGGGATCTAGGTTGCACGCTTCACAGGAAAATTTAATCTCCCCACCCAGCCCATGGGGAAATTATCTTCCATGAAACCATTCCTTGGTACCAGAAAGGTTGGCAGCTGCTGATGTAGCGGGTTCTTGTGTATCTGTCAACCAGCCAAAACTTGCCGACCCAGGACCAGGCTCGTTTCCTACCTTCCCAACCTCAGAGTAAATCCAGGACGTCATCTTGCTGCTTCTGTAAACATATCCACAGGTTTGAACACTGGTGTTCTCATTTCTAGTTGTCTTGCAGATTTTTTATACAGTTTTGAAATCTGAGTGAAGCCTGTACTCCTCTGTCATTCAATGGTTTGAGATCCCAGTAAAGCCTGTACTCCGCTGTCATTCCATGGTTTGAGATCCCAGTAAAGCCTGTACTCC